GACTTGAATTGATTTTTACTGTTAGTGTCTCTTACACCATTGTTCATCCATCTTGTTCCTGTGTTTGCCATTTAGAGTCCTTGTAGACTTGCAGGCCTTCCTTTAAATGTTGTATTTGGATTGGTTTGTGTGCACTGTACATGACTGTAGTTTGAAAAATTGAGTATCAGACTTTTAATTAAATCTTTGGAATCATGTTTCTGTTAACCCTTTAAATATGAAAACAAAAGGGGAATTCCTCCCTCCCTTCCCCCCCACTGGTATGTAGTATTCATCTCCCTGTGTACATTGATGATCTCAGTTTTCTGAATTACCCAGAAAAAACCCAAATAATTTTATTTAATATAATTATGAAATTCCAATGTACTTTTGGGGTTTTTTTTAGCCAAAATAATGATAAAGTGGACCTGTGTATGTCAAAACTTTTCTTACTAACTGTTCAGTGTTCAGACTACATGGGTAGCTAACTTGGGAGACAGCAGAGATGTTACTTCAGCGTTGACTGGTTATTCGGTTCTTTCATTTTGTACTGGATCTGGCTGGGACAGAGTTAAATTTTTTCAAAGCAGCCTCTACACTGCTGTGTTTTGGTAATGATAAAGTGGACCTGTGTATGTCAAAACTTTTCTTACTAACTGTTCAGTGTTCAGACTACATGGGTAGCTAACTTGGGAGACAGCAGAGATGTTACTTCAGCGTTGACTGGTTATTCGGTTCTTTCATTTTGTACTGGATCTGGCTGGGACAGAGTTAAATTTTTTCAAAGCAGCCTCTACACTGCTGTGTTTTGGATCTGTGGCTAGAACAGTGTTGAGAACACACCAGTGTTTTGGTTGTTGCTGAGCAATGTTTGCACAATGGCAAGGTTTTCTTTTCCCCTGTTCCCTGCCTCTGCTGCAGTCAGTAGGCATAGGGTGGGCAAGAGATTGGGAGGGCACACAGCTGGGACAACTGACCAGAATTGGTCAGTGGGTTAGTCCATACCATATAATGTCATGCTCAGCCATGGAAACTGGAACTAGAGGAAGAAGAAGGGGAGAAGGGGGTTGGCAGCGAGTCTCTGTGGTTCAGAGACTCTCTGGGCATTGATCTGTTCATGGAAGGTGGTGAGTGATTTCTTTTACTTCAGCTCTCTGCCTCTTTCCTTCTATTAAACTGCCTTTGTCCTGACCCATAACCTTTCTTGTGCTTTTTCTCTACTTCACTCCCTTTCCTATTCGGGGAGGGATGGGGGGACACCAGCAAGTGGCTGTGTGGCTGCTTGGCTGCTGACTGGGGTCAACCCACCACACATGGAATGCAGTCACACACCAACATTTGAAACCTGGATTCTAGCAACATGGTACTTGTCACAGGTCTGAATGAAACCTTGGTTTGGGGATTAAACCATGACAAACCTAGCTGTTTCCAATTCCTTATATAAAGTTGTTTGAATCAGGAAGGTTTAGGAGGATTGCTAGGCTGTTCTTTGAATTACCTCTTAAATTTTTCTAGTGTCTTCTTGGACTGAGCAGATCTATCAGTTGAATCGAAGTGCTCTTAAAATGCTGGTTAGTGTTTCTTGTACTTTCTTGCCCTTTGAAGGTTATGGATTCTCTTTCATGTTGTCCCATAAGGTGAAGTTTACAGTGTTAAAAAATAAGAAAACTCTGGGTTAATAATATTTTTTTTGTGGTCAAGGATGTTGATGGCATGAAGTGCTCTTTGCTTGGCTTTTGGCCAGTTCATATTAAGGGCATTTTCAGTATCAGTGGATAGCTGTTAACAGCAAAAAAGGGCAAGTGTTGATCTAGCTTTAACTTTTCCTTTCAAATACAGTTTTATTTCTTTCTTCAAACTGTGTAGAAATGTTCAAAGCATCTTCGGTCTGCATCTTGAGCTTGTCAAGATCTCTTGTCATCTTTCTCCCAAATTAAACAGTGAATCTCCTGAACATAGGCCTACCATCACACTTACATGTCAACAGTTCATCTTAAGTCTAAAAAGTGTTAGTAGCAAGTGGAAGGATGTTCCATCTGAACTACTGAAAACATTTGTTTTTTTCTTTTCTCTTTAGAACAGGATCAATAGAGCATATAATGTCACCCACATTAGAATTGCTTTAAAAAATCTTCAGATCATGGTACAACAGTTGTGTATTTTCCTCCTTCCTATGAGGCTGCTGTTAATTGCAATGAGATGAGATTAATGCAGTTCTAGAACTACCTAGTAAAGAATTTTAGCGTGCAGCCATCCATCTGCAAAAGACTGAGAAGCCCATTATGTTGTCCCTAACCAGTTTTTCAACTTACTGTTATTGTTGTTTGAGGTTACATCAGTATACTTCTAGAGCCCCATCTTTAGGGCAGCATTGCTGTAGCAGTTAGGGATATTGACAGGTGGGGCACAGGAGATTCACAGAATCACTGAATGGTTAGGGTTGGAATGGACAGTAAATATCATCTAGTTCCACCTCCCCTGCCATGGGCAGGGACACCTTGCACTAGACCAGATTGTACAGGGCCCCGTCCAACCTAGCCTCGAACAGTTCCAGGGACGGGGCATCCATTGCTTCTCTGTGCAGCTTGTTCCAGTAAAGAATTTCTTCTTTATATTTAATTTAAATATACCCTTCTTCAGCTAAAGGCTATTCCCCCTTCTCCTGTCACCACATACTCTTGCAAAAAGTCCCTCTCCAGCCTTCTTGAAAGTCTCCTTTGGGTACTGGAAGGTGCTTTAAGATCTTCCTGAAGCTGCACCTCCTCCAGGCTGAACAACTCCAACTGTCTCAGTCTGTCTTCACAGGAGAGGTGCTCCAGTCCTGTGGTCAACTTGGAACAATTCCAGAGGAGAGCCACTAACAGGTCAACATCTTTCCTATACTGCAGGCCCCAAAGCTGGATGCAGTCCTCCAGGTAGGGTCTCACAAGAGCGGAGTAGAAAGGGAGAATCACCTCCCTTGACCTGCTGGCCACGCTTCTTTTGATGCCACTCAGTATACGGATGGCGTTCTGGGCTGTGAGCATGTAAGATGCAAGAAAAAGATTTTGGATAAGATGCTCACTGCTGTCAAGCTGTTGGGCTGATCACAGAATCATTTAGGCTGGAAAAGACCTCTGAGATCATTAAGTCCAACCATTTACCTAGCCAGCCACTAAACCATACCCTTAAGTGCCTTGTCTACATGTCTTTTAAATACCTCCAGGGATGGTGACTCCACCGCTTCCATGGGCAACCTGTTCCAATCCTTGACAAGCCTTGAAATGTAGAATTTTTTCCTAATATCCAATCTAAACCTCCCCTGGTGCAACCAGGGGCCGTTTCCTCTCATCCTGTCACTTCCTACCTGGGATAAGAGGGCCTTTCAGGTAGTTGTAGACAGTGATAAAGTCACACCTGAACCTCCTTTTCTTCAAACTAAACAATCCCAGTTCTTCAACCACTCTCATAAGACTTACCATCTAGATCCTTCACCAGCTTCATTGCCCTTCTCTGGCCATGCTCCTGTACATCAGTGTCCTCCTGGTACCATAGTGTAATTAACTTATGATTATTGTCATGGGAAGCTACTTGGGTGGTCTCAGCACTGTGCTTTTGGAGTCCAAATCAGGCCCTGATCTCTGTAGATAGACTTGGTGAGGAACTGGATTTCAGAAGCAGAAGCCTCCTGTTGGATGTATTGAAATCTAAAGGCATCTAGAAATAACCTCATGAAATCAAATCTTACTGGTGAATGCACATCTGTGCAACAGTATGTCTGTAAGTAACAATGTTGGAATAAGAAAGATGTTGAGTAGATTTTAATTGCTGGTGTTGGCTTTGGACTTAATTTTCTCTATGTCTCAAAAGTGTCTAATTTGGTTGTTTATTTTTCAAATAACAGTGGTCTCAGTCTTGTCAAAAGCTGAAAGACTGACATCATCTTCCTGTTAAATATGGCAGAGAGAATAACAATGCTAAAACCTGTGGGGCCAAATATACTGCACATGATAATATGGTGTTTTACAGTGATACTACTGTTCTCCCTCTGCCTTAAGTTGCATTGTTTATTTTACTCAATTGACATTCTCTATTATCAGGATGAAGTGAATTATTTATATGCTTATCCACATACACAGAAGTGATTACAGTGTGATATTAATAGAAGAGAAACTAATTAATTTTGCAGCCACAGATTGTTTTGACTTCATTACTTTCAGAACATGTGAAACATGAATCCCATCTTGTTATGAATTGGTGTTCAAGACTACTTGGATCTGAAACATTGGCACTGATTAGAAGAGAACTTCCTTCTGTACTCCAGGAATTTCCATGCTAACTTTAAAATCCTTATAGTTAAAAACAAATTCACAGTTTTACCAGCTTTTCTAGTAACCGTTGTAGCCACATTCTGTTCCCCTGCTGAATTCACAAGTGAGTGGCACTTGCAGTGTTTCATAAGATCTTGTCCTAAGTTTAAGGCTGTATATGAACTGAAATCATGCTCTGCTGTTCAGTTCTGTTACCAGCTATCTTTCTTGATGGGCTTACATTTCTTAAATGTAAAATTTTTCATGACATGAGAAATAGCATGAACTCTTCAGTTTTTGATGCATAGGAGATAATTTTATGAATTTATGAACATTTGGAATAAGAAGTAATGTTAAAGGATTATTTGATTTGGTGGGTTTTGCTTAGAATTAATGGTGCAAGATACAGTAGACTTGCACTCTGTAATTCAGCTGAAGTCCACTGGTAGTTCAATTATTAGTTCACAGTATTTCAGTGATCAGTGAATTTTAACTGACTTGATCTTCTCCTTTTTATTCTTCAGTGCTGCAAGTTGATTGAATAAATATGAGAACATGGAATACAATATGGATTCACTTGCTTGAACATCATTTCTTCCAAAGCGTGTAATCTGCAGATTGGTGGCCTAAATGAGTGATTGACAAACAACATACACAAGACTGATATCCAGAAAACATTCTGTCTGTTGCTGCTGTGTTTGATGAAACTGGTGCAGAATTGTATCTTCTGAAATGCAGTTGAAAAAAATGAGGGAAGTTTTACCAAGATTGTACCCTGGCCAAGTTAATGATAAAAGTAATTCATTCAGTACATCCCCAAAGCAATCTTCTGAGGATAAAACAAATCCATCAAAAGGGGACGATGACCAAATCTTCTGTTACCAAGGAACTGAGGCTGAGGACAATAAGTTGTCACTAATAAGCTGTATGAAATGCAGGAGTGTTCAGAAATTTTCAATGCAAGATCTAGAAAAGCATAAGAAGCTTGGGTGGACTGAAGACAAAAATTTCATCTGCAAGAAGTGCAGTCATGTTACACCACCAGCTTTCCACTTTGTTCCTGAGGGTGCCAATGCTGCGGACTTGGAAAAATGTGAAACCAAATCCCCAAGTAAAATCCAGAAAACATTTAAAGTAAAAAATTTTCTGCCAGGTAAATACTACTGTGATAAATGTAGATTTTCAACAAAGGATCCTTTACAGTATAAAAAGCATGTAGGGCAACATGAAGAAATTAAGTTTCTTTGTTCCCACTGCAGTTATATATCCTACACCAAAGGAGAATTTCAGAGACATTTGGTGAAACACACCGGAACTTTTCCATATCAGTGTGCATACTGTGAATATGGTGCTGTTAGACATGATTATATAGTGAAACATACAAGGAGAGTACATAAAACACCCACAAAACAGCTGTCAAATACTCTCATAAACCACAAGCAAAAGAAGCAGAGTCAAAGCACTTTATTTAAAAAGCAGAAATACAATAAAATTCCTTTTCAGAATGAACTTTCAAATTTGTCTTCAAATACAGTTTGTGAGATTCCAGGTAAAGCAACTAAATCAGTCTGTTCATCTCATCCTGTAGAATGTAGCGTAAACACACCATCAGTCCGGGATAAAACAACATTGGAGCCGTCTGAAATAAGTGTATATGAGAATCAAAGTGTGGAAGTTGAGGTTTATTCTCCAAAAATGGAGCCTTTACAACCTGGGATGCCTTTAACAGTAATTGCACCATCTGAACTTGTAGTTCCTTCCAACTGTTTAGCTCAGATAGTAGAGATCAAAATAGTGAATGGAGCACAACAGCTGGTTCTTAAACTAATTCCTATGAAAGAAGCAACTTTCAAACCTGTGAACTGTGCTGAAGAGGAACTTGAAAATCAAGGTATAGAACAATCTGCAGAAGGAAAAAAACCACCTGTGTCTCAAAGTGAGTTGCTAACCATGGAAGTGAATGTAGACAAATTATCCAGTGTTAGCAACCACCTTAATTTGCATAGTACACATGATAAGAATTCTGAATGCCTTTGTTTTTCTGGTTCTCAACTCTCAGACTGTGGCTCTGTACCTGTACAGAGGGAAGATGCATCAGAATTATGCTTTCATTTGGTGAAAGGTATTGATGTCCATTCAGGTGTTATAGAACTTTGTTCTCCATCTCTGGTGATGAACAGTACTGAAAAAAAAAGTGAACTTAAATCCTCAAGGTGTGAAGTAGATGGGAAAAATAACTTACATTGTGATTTGTATTATTATGAAAAAGGTGAGGTTGTACACCCTCCAAAATATGCTTCTGTTTCTGAAGATAAATGTTCCAAAAACATGTCAGTAGAGGCTGCTCAGGAGGGCAAAAATTATTCTGCAGTCCTTAAAGAAAAGGATACATTGCCTGTGAAGAGAGATGACAAAGAATGTAGAAGTCTGCCAGTCAGCTCTACAGATGCACATTTAACTGGCAAGACTTTTGATAAAAAGTCTTTTACATCTTCTGAGGCAGGAAAAAACATTCATGTCAGTAAAACTCTGCCCTTTGAGGATATAACTTTTGGCTTTAGCAAAGTAAAGAGAGGTGAAACCAGAAGTCAAAAGAACAGTCATCTTCTGGAATCACTAGAACTACAGAAGATGGAAAATAAAGGCAATCCTTTTGAAGGACCTGTTATTTCCTCTGTATTTTCACTTAGCTCTGGAGCTGAAAATGTTCCAGAGGATGTCAGATGGGATGACACAACACGCAATAAGAAGTCAGCAACATTGCTGTGTAGAAAGATTGCTCAACTCATGTCTGCTGCTGAATCTAACATGAAATCTACGCCTTTGAGATGTCAAGCTTCTAGTAAAAAGCTGCCTTTGCCTCAAGAAAGTTCAGCAAGCTGTGAGAGAGTTGTTTGTGCCATGGAGGCGGAACAGCCTGCAACTTTGTCTCAAGTGCATGCTGGAAATAGTGTGATTAGTAGCAAAGAACACAGTGAAGATCAGCTCTTTACATTTGCAAGCACATCTAAAAATAGGGTCACTAAAAGCTCCCATGTTGCTACTCCAGTGTTTATCCCAAAAGGGACAATGCTCAGAGTGCTGAATGCTACTAGCAGTCAAAGCTCAGCTGGAATAGAAAGCAGGAGGGAAACATCAGCTCATTCTGCGTATTGCAATGAAATGTTTCTGCCTCGCCCGGTTCCTGTCAGTGTTTCTGAGACACTTAGCTGTAATTTGCCATGTTTGCCTAAACAGAGTGAACCAAATGCTGAGTCCCGAAGTATATCACTCAGGCAAAGACCGAGGCGAGAGGCAAGCGTTAAAAATAGCAGCAAGCAAACTGGTGTACCATTTCAGAAAAGCAGTGATGTAAGCAGGCAAAGCAAGCCCTATTCAAAAAGTCAACTAGGTCCCAAAAGTAAGGCAAAACAAGCAAGCTTCAGGGAACTTCCTAAGAGGAAAACAAGAGCTCACTTGGAAACCACTTCAGGTTCTGACGTGTCATACCTGTTGACAGCTAGACGTCTTCGGCTTGTCCCTCTGAAAATGAACCAATTAATAAAATGCCCTCGTCGTAACCAGCCAGTCGTGGTACTAAACCATCCTGATGTTGATTCACGAGAGATAATTAATGTTATGAAGACTATCAACAAGTATAAAGGTCAAGTCCTGAAAGTAGTTCTGTCAGAAAGGACAAGTAGTTGTCTTGGTGTCAAACGTTATCGAAAGCGTCTTACTCTTCAGAATGTTGAGACAGGAAACCAAGCGAAAAAGCAGAGTATGCTAAAAATGAAGCTAAAAAAGACTCATAAGAACAACTACCAGGTGGTGGAAAGTTCACCAGCTGAAACACTTCGGTGTCTGTTTAAATGTTGGTTTTGTGGAAGAGTATATATGGACCAAGAAGAATGGATAAGTCATGGACAGAGACACTTAATAGAGGCAACCAAGGGTTGGGATGTTCTTTCTCTTCAAAGGAAAAAGCATTAAGTGAGAGACTAGGATAGGTTTCTCCTCTTGTATTTAATGAGTGCCACTAACTTGCTTGGAAAGGGAGGATTGAAATAACTGCTTTATTTTGCCAGATCTCTACTGTTAGCAGAATGCAAGAAGAGAGCAGCATTACATTGAGATAGAGAAGCTGCTAGTGAGGATTAAGCATTACTTTGCACTCTCATGTTTGAAATTTATATTGGAGGTCAAGTTATCTGTTCGGTAGGAGAAATTTGAAAAAGATTTGCTATGCAAACATCTTTCTAGTTACCCTAGGATACTGTGCTGTGACTGGTTTGTGCTAGGTCTGTGTGGATTAAAGTCTTAGATGATGAGGTCTTTGTAAATTTAACAGAGTTTAGTTTGCTTTGTCAGAGCATGGTGTGTCAGAGATCAAACACACGTGTACTGAAAAGCACCTTTGATCCCGTGTGGGCAGCAAGTGTATTTCACAGGTTTTAGTGGCAAATTAAGTACTACACATAAAAAGTAGGTACTCTGTTACAGTGGAGTTAAAAGCACTTCTGCTGGCTTCAGAGGAGATGCAAGGGTGTAAATGAAAAATCTGTGGAATCAGAGTTACTCCCACTAGGTCAGGTAGTACTAAAAAGCTTAATTTTGTTTAGTAGTTAGTCTTTATTTAGTCTGTACTGTGTAGATGTGAGAGACCACTGTCAGGTTTCTGTACCATCAAGCGGGAGATACCCTCAGGCTTGGGCTGATAGGAGTGAGAAGCAGATCTTTATATGGCCTCAAGGCTCTTCTGAAAGCTAAGGAAGTAATAGCCAAACCTAAACCCTCCACCACCTTGTGCGTGCTAGAAACATTTACAGAACCAGGCATTTGGTTAGAACTCTACTCAGTGAGCCTATTCACAGGGGAACTTACTGAAGTTGAAGACTTGTCTTTATGTCATGTTGCACAGCTTTTACACTGACAGTGTTGAACCAGATTTTTCAGTGCAATCTTTCATCATTCTTAAGAATTTAGATGTTGCTAGAATATATTTTTTATGTAGGCCTCAAATTCATTCAAGCATGTGCCTAGTTACAGTTGTATGTCTAACGTGTATCTACTGACTTCAGTGCAGTGTAAACATTGCTCAGTTGCTTAAACACTTTTCTAAATCAGGGCCAAATTTCAAGTTTTTAGTAAGGAAGAGGGATGGATGACACTGAAGTCTACTGTTTCTGTACATGAGCTATAGATGTTTCTCTTCATCTTGTCAGTTTTAAGTCATTTTAAAATCATATAGAATGAAGTATATTGAAGCACATACTTAGAATTAAAATAACTTCTTACAGTTTTAGAGATAAGAAAATCAATACTGACTCTAATGCTGGATGTGTGTTCTATGTTTGAACTGGGACTTCTCTTGAAAAACTGCTAGTCCCTAATTCTTTTCACTGTTGGTGCATTTTTGTAAACAGTTTAAGCTGGGAATATTTTTTATATACTCCAGCAGATTATACATTGTTTTGATAAAGTATTTATCATATTTGCATTGAAATGTAAATATTTTAAAACTATGTCTGACTGAGGCTTATATTCAAAACCACTTATTGCTTTCCCATCACTTTGCAATACAGTGTTAAAATCCTTCAGATGGTTGGTGCTTTAAGTCAGATCTTTTTCATCATTTACACATGCAAAATCTTTGTATCATTTGTATCAGACTAACCTGTTCCACAGAACAAACTTGGTTTTGCCTGTTTTGTCAATAATAAGGAAATGACAGTTCTCATTTTGTATTCAAATGGAATTATATTTTTTTAGATGGGTACACTAGAGGGTTTTTTTCATTTCGTATACTTTGATGCCAAACCTAACAGTGCTGTTTGCATTTTCAATGGTGAAAATTGTTTCCATTTTAAAATTCTGGCATATCATATACAATAAATACTGAAATGGTTAACATAACCCCCCCCCATGGTTAGAATTCCTCCTTTGTTTTAACTCCTTCAGTCCAGGTTACTGCTTGAATTAATTTTATTTCTGTAGAAGCTACTAAATAAATAGTTTTGAATTTGCTTTGTAAGAGTTGTCACTGGCAAAATTAGAACTTTGCTCATGAAAGCTGTTCTGGGGGGATGGATGAGCTGTTGCAGCTCAGCTTTATAGGCTCTAGGTGGTTTACATATACTAGTAATGCTTGACTTCTGTAAGCAAATTTCCTGTTAACTCTAGTAAACATCTGCAAAGCTTTGTATGTCACTGCCGTAATCTGCTGTCTAAGTTGTTAAGCTGTGGGGGCTTTATGGGTTTTAATTTAGGATTTTTTTTTGTTGTTGTTTTAACATGAAAACCTTTTGTAAGTTAAATTGTATTGTGGCTATGAAAGTCTTAAAGCAGATTATGTCATACTTCTTTTCCTTTTTATGAGCTCTGCCAAACTCTACTTCAGCAGCTTCTGTTTTGTTGATTTTATTCTTATTAGATAATATTATGTCAGAATACAATTTCCTTCAAGTTTAGCAGTCTCACCAGTTTGAGAGAAATAATTACAGTGAATGTTCTCTTTGCATTTTGATGCAGCACAGAGAAATAAAAAGGTTGCAAGAAAATAACCAGCTGCTAAATTTTTTAGAGCTGGGTTTTGCCACTACATACTACATCATAAATTGGGTTGGAATGTTGTGGTTTTGGGCTTGAGTGTTTTTATTCTTTTGATTCCTGTTCTATAAGGATAAAGCAACTGAGGTTGCTTTTTTGGTGTATTCCGGTTACCTAGTCAAACTTCTGAGTGTGCTTAGAAAGGAAGATTATGGATGCTGCACAGAAAAAATCCTGAAATGTGCCTTTCATATACGTAAGGAATTTAGGCCTTCCAAAACTCAAGTTGTATGAATAAGTATTACTGTATATTATTTTTTTTTGTTAGAAAAATATCACCACCTCATATTCTTTGATACACACTGGAGCGTGTTTTCTTGCTGAGTTTCAAGCACATCTGCTGTTCCTACTGGCGATTTTTATCTCTATTTGCATGTTGTATGAATTCTAAGGGACTGTTTGCATAATGAGCTTACTAGGTAAGTGTTTGAAAGCTCAGGTGCGGAATACAGGTATCTGCTACTTAAGCTAAGGAATAAGCATTAGTTAAGGAATAAAATTTCCATAATTACAGTTACCTTTATAATCAGCTCCAATACCTATGAGCATCAGCTGACACTAACTTGAGTGGCACTGAAGCACAGCTTGTTGTTGAGCAAACACCACGTGGAACTGTTAAACAGTGAGAACTCTGACACATACTATTTCATGTGTATTTTTTAAAAGCAAGAATATTTCTTTTATTTGACTGTGGTATGCTTTATTAGATTTTTCTACATAACACTTTCAGTGACATTTAGGTAAGCTAAGGCGAGTTTGGTTTTCATCTCGTGTTAGAAGGTAGACTGCAAGATAAGCAAATTGGTCAGTCATCATCAAGATATCAGGAGTTGGTCTCACACTTTTCTGTGAATTAATACTTATATTTTACCTGTATCCTCAAAGTTAAATTGCAGCAGTCAAAAATTGGAGTTGATCTGTAGAATGCTTCACAATATTATGGGGAGCTTCTTGCTCAAAGGCTAATCTGATCTTTGAGACATTTAAATAACTCTTCTATTTACATTATACAAATGAATCAGTGGTGTTAAGGCAGAAAACATCTGCGTGACTTGAATGGATGTGTGAGGTAGCATTGTTCTCTGTGGGTTCCTGACTGGTCCTTTCCGTCAATGAGTGTTATAGGAACATACTTGTAGAAGTCAATGATCTCTTCCACAGAATTAAATTTCTGGGGGAAAAAGAATAATAGTAATCAGTGACTGAAAATGAAATTTGCTAGATGGTTTAATCTATAACCTTAAAAGACTTGTAAGTGACAGGATTAAAAATAGGTAATAGTTTACATAGAATTATGATTAGATGGAAGAAATTATAGAAGGAAAACCACCAAATTTTTATCCTTTGATTTCCTCTGTGTCTCTGCCTTGTGTAGGAGAAAGCAGCTAGCTGCTTAGGGCAAAAGGGGACTATGTCTAAGTCTTGATAATGCAGTATGACGTATAAAGGTTTGTGATGCCAGGTGTGATGATAGATTTTAAAGCAATGAAGCAACTATAAGTCATTACTAACTTCTTCCTTTCAAAAGTTCTACTTAATTAGCAGCACATGATAATTTACACTGCAAGTTTTGTTGTACCTTACTAAACATACCCTTTATTTTCCCATTCAGTTTACTGAGAAAATTGTTATAAAATCCCTATAGAGTATGGAACAAGAACCTTTCTTTGTGCCCACTTCTATTTTCATGTCTGCTGCTGAGAATACTAAATAGGGGTAGAAGGTTGTCATGTCTGTGACTCCCTGGTACAACAGTTAGCTGCCTAGCAAAGCAATTCAGAATTTTTTCTGCTGTACTTGATCTATGGTAAGATTTCTAAGGTAAACAGAAACAATACTTTAAAAAGAGAGCTTAGAGTAGGGTGTACTGATTACAGATGTGGCCTGGTAGAGCCAAGTCTTAGATACTCACTGTTGTTTGCTATCTAGATGCTTGCAATCCTTACTCTGAAATTGCAGCTTTCCAATTTGCAGTCAAATTGACTGACCCACTGTTTAAGATATGTACTGTCTGTGCACAGCTTGGAGCAAACAACAGTCATACATTTTGGTATTTCCTGAAATGGGAGGGATGGTGTTCTCCTTCCCTTTTGTTCAGTACAAATTGTTCATGTATTGTTCACGTCATTTTCTAGTTGACTTAATTGCTAAATCTGTTAAAATGCTAACAATTTAGTTGTATGTGTTTATTCTGTAGTGTGCTATATACATACTACATTATACCCTAGTGTGCCCCATTTCAGTCATTGTTTGTGATCTGAGCCTTTTTTTATCAGGGTCGTTACAGGAAAACTAAACAGTGTAAGAACAGTGGAAAACTAAGCTTGCTTTCTCCTAAGTCCAGGAAATCACTGGGGTGGTTCAGTTCAGAAATGCAGCCAGTG